TGTTTAATAGCAGGATGGTACTTTGAAAATTAAACTGAAATGGACAAAATTTGGGGTCAAGGGAAAAGCTGGCAAAAGAAAGACTGAGTTTGAAAATGTGACAGATCAGTAAAGGTTCGAGAGAAAAAATATTCCAGAAAAAAACAATCCTTAATTCACCTCAAAAAATAGAACATTACTGATTATTCAGCTCTGAACCTGCTGCAACCTGCTGGCTACACAGGATTGTGACTGAAAGTGGAGCAAATACAGCTTGCCCTGAGTTGTCCAGTCCATACATACATACAAAAAGATATAGATGAAACATGAGGGGAGAGTAGAAACATACCACATGTTTCTTCATTACACATAACAAAACACAGATGTCTGTTATGGCCGCTGGAAGTAAATGAGGTGGAAAGATTTCTAGAAACCATACCATGCACATTTCCCCTACCTTTTAAACATTTATGGAAGGAACTCACATGGTAGAAGCCTACTTATACATACAAATTTAAGCATTTTAAGTAGATCACTATGCTAGAATAATTTTTGACAACTAGTTTCTTTTCTGTAGGACATTTTTTTAATGGAACAAGATTCTCTCAAGGAGAGTATTCAAATTGTTGGATGACCTGAAAGGCCTGGCTGGGGATAGATCATTCTGGAAAAAATGTCAACTCTCTGAGATAGGCCAGGTCAGGAAAAAACTCCATAAGAAACACTAGAACTCTATTTATGTAAGCTGTACTAACAGAATCTTGAAAGCCTGACAGTCTTTCGCTTTCTTTCCATTTTATATCAGAGGGTCATGGCGAGGCAATGTTAAGTTTCATTCGCACACTTTATTTTCCTAGACTGAGGTCATGTTTTGCTAAACATGTTCACCTATCTTCTCCAAGGTATTCTTTTTAAAAATATACTTTATTAAATTTCTACAAAAGATAAAATACAGTCAATCCTTGATTTACAGCTACAATTCAGCCCAAAATTTACGTTGCTAAATGAGACAGTTGTTGAGTTTTGCCCCATTTTACAACCTTTCTTTTCACAGCTGTTAATTGAATCACTGCAGTTAAGTTAGTAACATGGTTGTTAAGTAAATCTGGCTTCTCCATTGACTTTGCTTGTCAGAAGGTTGCAAAAGGTTATCACATGATCCCTGGACATTGCAACCATTATAAATATGAGTCAATTGCCAAGCATCTAATTTTTGATCACGTGGCCATGGGGATGCTACAATGGTCATGTTAGAAACGGTCATAAGTCACTATTTCAGTGCTATTGTAACTTCGAATGGTCTGTTGTAAGTGGACTACTGTAAGAATAAAAAGCAAAAAAAAAAAAAAAAAGGAATTAATTAAGAATATTTGTAGTCCAGGGTTAAAATGAAGAGTCGTTGGTGATTTCTGAGCTTGGTTGTTTTCTTGCAGACATCTCAATACCACAAACTAATATAACATCATCATGCTAGTAAGGAATGGGATTTGTGCTGAGTTTATATTCTAGTGGCTTGCCCTGTCAATGTTGGTGGGAATAATTTGGAAGTTATTTGGTTGGATTGTTTATTATTAATTTATTTGGCAGTTCCTTGCTTGGGGTATTTTTACCACTTGATTGTTGGTTTGATTTTTATCTTGGAGTTAATCTATGCTAATCTGGGAGTTGATTGCTAGTGGGGGTAAGTGTTTTAGTCTTTTTGTTCCCTTTTTGGCTTGTTGATTGTTTCTTTGTACAGTATGTAGATATTGTTCATGTCTATGTGTCTATTGATGATTAATTTGTCAGGGTGCTAGGCTTCTAGAAATTCTCTAGCATTTTTGGACTTGGCTTGGTCTAGGATGGTCAATTTCCCAATTGATATATTCATATGTTGTGAAGTTAAAGAGTTTTCATCATGTCTTCTGACTGCAAGTTGGTGTTCATGGATACATTCTTGTAATCTTAAAAGAAAGTAGCAAAAAAAGGGAATTAAAAAGGAAAAAATAGGGAAGATGCAAAGGAATAAAAAAATAAATAGAAAATGGATAACCTTTTTCAATACAGTTACAAATATAAAATACATTAACTTTTTGGATCTAAAATTCAGAATTACATAGTATTTCTTTAGTTATAGACAATTCTAATAATCAAATCCCCAAATTAAGATGGCATTTCCTTCGGTTTCTAGCAAAAAGTCCAATAGTGGTTTCCATGTAGATACAAAGCTAGGAAAAGTCTTTTCTTTAATCAACATAGTTAGTTTTGCCATCTTGGTGAGTCCCATTAACTTCACCATCCATTCTCCCATTGTGGGAATCTGTAAATTTTTTAATCTCTTTCCATACAAAAGTCTTGTTGCAGTTATTTTATGTAAAAGCAAAATTTTATGTTTTTTTCTCCAACTGGTTATCCATTAAACATAAAAGAAAGATGTTCGGTTTCAGTTGTACATTTTAAAAATTCTCCGAATTAAAGTATTTGATCTCAATAATTCCTAGTCTCTTCCCAGTTAATCTCTGTGCAACTCCACAGATGATCAATCATCTTGAGTTGAAGTGACTTGAAGGCACACTATCAATAAATAATCAAAAGTGGGTGTTATCTGATTGCATAATTTGGATCTTTTTTCCATCTACATGGCTCTACTTTTGTAACCAGATCAGACCTATGTGGCCTTGGTCTCCTTTTCTCCAAGGCCTTAAAGAGGCATAATTAGCACTTCTATCTTTAGTTTTTTTCCCCCATAATCACAACCTGAAGTGGGCTGAGACAGAATGACCAGTGATCTTTCATGGCTTAGTTTGAAAATTTAAGCAAATACTGCAATCTTAAATAAATTGGTCTACATACAAGTTTATTATCTCTTCTGCTTTTTATGACAGATATCATATTTTTTGGACTATAAGATGCTCCCAACTATAAGACACACCTAACTTTTGGGGAGGAAGACAAGAAAAAAAAATTCTGCCTCTGCTTCCCAACAATTTGCCTCCTTGCAGCAAACAGCTTGGTCAGCTTCAGCACAGCCTGATTTAGCATGAGCAGCTGATTGGCGGTTGGATCTGCCTCCCTGAATACCGCCCATTAGCTGTTCCAGGCTGCAGGGATCACCACCGCCCATCACTGCTGTCACTGCCCATCGCCACCACCTCTCGCCACCTCCACTCATCTCATTCTGGGCCTCTGTGCATCCATTTTCAGCCTCCGTGCACCCCATTTTTGGCGTCAGCACACCTCATTTTCGGCCTCCGTGGGCCCCATTTTCGGCCTCAGCACACCCCATTTTTGGCCCGTTTCAGGCGGCAGGGATAGGCAGTGGTGGGTATCCCTGCCGCCTAGAATGGGCAAAAAATGGGGTGCATGGATGCCAAAAACGGGGTGCATGGAGGCCGAAAATGGGGCGCAAGGCTGAAAATGGGACACACGGAAGCCAAACACGGGGCACCCAGAGGCAGTGATAGGTGGAGGTGGCGATGGCCGGCGATGGCTGGTGGCAATCCATGCAGCCTGGAATAGCTGCGGTATTCAGGGAGACAGATCCAACTGCTAATCAGCTGATCGTGCTAAATCAGACTGTGCTGAAGCTGACCAGGCTGTTTGCTGTAAGAAGGTAAATTGCTGTGAGGCAATGTATATATTGATTTTTTTTCAGATAGATGAGAGGATGTATTGTATGTCAACTTGTAGTGGTTTTTAGTTCTGTGGTCTGGTAGATGAAATAATGTTATGATCACATTTTCATTGGACCTGAAGACTTTTCTCTATTTAAATTCTTTATTTAACTGAAAACTGAATATGTTAGCAGGATCTCATCCATTCATCGATCCATCCATCTTCTATCTATGAATCTTGGCTAATTAATTCTTCCTTCAGTGTTAAATATAATATGCAATTTAGTCTTAACATCATTTTCTTTCATTTAGAAATTTCTTACAGTGGATATTACAACCTCCAGTATATAACAAAACTGATCAATGGCACAGTGGTAAAATCCAATTTTATTTACTACTGGTTCTGTGGGCGTGGCATGGCTTGGAGGGCATAGCTTGGTGGGCGTGGCAGGGGAAGGATACTGCAAAATCTCCATTCCCACCCCATTCCAGGGCAAGGATACTGCAAAATCCCCATTCTCTCCCCACTCCTGGAGGAAGGATATTGTGAAATTTCCACCCCACTCTGGGGCCAGCCAGAGGTGGTATTTGCCAGTTCTCCGAACTACTCAAAATTTCTGCTACCGGTTCTCCAGGACCTGTCAGAACCTGCTAGATTTCACCCCTGTAATGGCATAATGCTAACTAATTTATTTTTATTTTACTATATTTGAAGTAAGATGGACAGAAATTGCAATGTACTTAAGTTATCTCCAGGAAAGCAAGCTGATACTTCACGAGTTTATGCTAAGTCACATATAAACATCGAACAGGTAGAAAAATCAAAATATTCCTTAAATATTGAATCTAATGCTAACTTCACTTCTGCCACTTAACTTCAGCGACATGAGTTTCTACAGTATTTTGGTCGGGGGAGGGGTTGGGCAATAAGCCACCAACATGTGAATAGCTTAAAGCCATTACCCTCTCATGATTTTATATTATAGATGTAATAATTAGCGTAGTTTCCCCATCTACTTTGCATTATTCTCACTTTGATTACTAGTTGTACTAAATGTGTGCCTTTACGGAACCTATAGACAGCCCACATTTACAAGGGCCAGAGAGCATTCCTTTGACTTTTAATGCGTAAAACATTTTCAAGCAAGTTTGCAAACGTTATTAAGGAGCTCCGCATCCCTCCATTTTCTGCACCGCTTCTCCTGCCCCCCTTCCCTCCCTCCCAGCCTCCGATATTTCTTTTACTGGCTCTTTCCCATTCCCTCCTCCTTCACCAGTTAGCAGCACAAATTTCTGTTTGTGCCAGTGGGGTGGCCTGGCGAGACCGCAATTGCTCTACTTCACAGATTGACGAGCCCTCAGATGCCGATTTACTGTACATGGCAGCCACTCTGGAGCCGAGGCACATCTGGAGTGGAGTAAACTTACCGAGAAACAGGGGCCAGCTTTAACTGGAGCCAGTGGAACTGAGAGCAGCCGATGAAAAGCAGCTTTCCCGTCTTCTCCTTCCCCTCATCCCCGGGTAGATTTCCTAATGTAAACAGAACTGAAGGTGGGGGGAAGAACACAGTAACTCTTTGCAGAATGTTTGTTGCTTAATGTTCTTTATCTACTTGAGGTCAGAATAGAGCCTTAGAAAAACAGAAGCACTGCTTTTCATCTAAATAACTAAAACCCTGCATATTACTGTAGATTTTTCTTTTAAAATATCAAATAAAATGGAAAAGAATGACACTTTAGTGTTTATTTGTTCTCTTTTGTTATTATTTAGTGGCTAATTTTGTCATCTTCTGGAGCTAAATTAGAAACAAACTTTTTGTGTGTTTTTTTAATATATAGGAGAATACTTTAAACCACAAACAGCACGCAATTTCTTTTTCCTTATAGCTCTATTGTGTTAATGGGGTGGTACATGCACAAATTCACCACAGAACATAAAACTGGAGAGTTTTCTCCTAAAAACTAACAGATTACAAACAGAAAGAAAAGGGATAAATGCTTCCTTTAACCAATTAACAAACAGCTTGTATATTCTTGTGGCAAAAGAATCTGATTGATTTCTCCCCCCCAGGAATATGCTATTTGCCAACAAATCCCCCTTTAAAAAACAACAACAACAACTAGAGTTAATGTAGAATGAGGAATTAAGTCTTGTTTTATAGGTAAGAGTTAGTTAAAATATGGGGGCTATGGACAGAAAAAAGCAATTATAATAGACTTTCATATTTCAGAATTACTATAATTACCTGGATGGAACTTTTTGAAATGCTGCATTTTTCTGTTTCAATGCTAACCCACCAAAGATAATATTAAAAGATGCATAGTCAGAATATGAACTCCAGATTTTTGGATTTCAGCTCTTATTAGTTTATGGCAGGTAATTATGGAATTGTAGTCTAAAACATCTGGAAGATGCATTACATTGACTGTATTAAGAAGGCCTACAAAGCACATGAATATCCTCATCAGCATTTAAGAATTTATTTTCTGTATGGGCCAGTTGCCTGTATTGTCCTACATTGAAAGGAAAAAGTGTGTAGTTAATTCAAGGATGCGTAGGTAGATCAAACTCAAGAGATGTTCACATGTTTGAAAGAGCAGCAAACTCTATGAGTTTGTACACTTGCTAAATAAAAGATAGGTACTGGCAACATCATCCCAGTTAATGTATATATTTAGTTTTCTCTCTAAATTTGAAACGATCGCATTCAAAACAATGAGGCTAAATAAATAATATTTTAAATAAAATTTAGTTACTTTAATTAAAGAACTTAATTACAAAAATGCCAGAAAACAACCATTGATATACTCTATACTATACCAGTGGATTTATTTATTTAATTTCTATACCCACCCATCTCAAAGAGTGACTCTAAATGGTGTACATCAAAGAAACATGAAACAATTAAACAATGCAGAATATATATGGTTGCTAAGAAAAACTATTGTCAAAGATGTTAACATATAACCAAGTCTTTACAGTCAGGAAACACAGCAGAATTGAGACCATTCTGATCCATGAAGGAAGAATGTTCCAGAGGACAGGAAGTAGAATGGCAGGGAAGGCACATTTCTTAGTCCCTATAGCCACCATTCCTTGGCAATAGGATCCATAACAAGCCTAACCTGGCTGACCAAATTGGAGTCATAGAAACAGCTGGGAGAACACACTTATTCTTATTATTTATATTATGTCATGTTATGTTGAGCTTATGCTTAGGTAAATTTAACATTTAATTTGGAAAAGTGTATATTAAATATTTATATGGCAAGATTCTTGGGAATGAAACATAGGATATAGTAATAAATAAACATAAACATTTATTAGACCAAATATTTCTCTAAGAACCCCTTTGTAATGATTTTATGTACTTGCTCCCTATAAATATTTTTTTTTAAGCTCTAAAAAGGAAATAAATCATATGGCTTCTGATTTAGAGGGTTATAGGGAATTTGCCCAGATGAAGTATAGTACTGATTGATTAGTATCTAATGATCTAATTTTCTCTTCCTTTAGTTTATACTCTGAAAAAGCTAGTTTAGGCTTCCCCCTAAAGCCCAGGCATTCCAGGGATTCTACATCGAGAAGAAATATTTTTTGTTCATAAATTACAGTTCATTTATTTTATATATAATTAGATTAATTACCTATCTTCAAATCTAAACCATAGGTTTAGTATGCTACAGGCCTCCTTTTTTATTTTGGCCAGAGGATTTCCTCCCTATGTGAATAATATTTGTGAACAATCTGAAGAATAGCCATTTATACTCCTTTTCTTTGAGTAGGCAGTTCGGAATTGATATTTATAATGCATGTAACATAAAAGGTTGAACAGGAAAACTGTAAGACAAAAATAATAGAGACAGGCAATCGTGATTATTCCACACGGATGAATATAGAACAGTTCTGAAAAGTTGTGTCAGCCATTCAGGATACTTAATTTGTCTTCCAGACGCATGATATGGAAGTACTGTAACATCACAGACACTATGGAGCCATTGCTTTAGAAATGTATAAATCCGTTATCTGAATTTAGTGTAAAACTTCCAATCTGTGAAATGTTTTGAGTATAGTTTTAACTCAGCAAGTGTACAAAAATTATATGTATTCATATTAGTTTTAGGCTTAAAGCCAAGGAAATGCTAAGTTACTTTGTGAAACACATTTCCAAAATTGAAGTGAGCAGGTTTATTCTGGACTAAAAAGTTTTCAAAATTTTTACTTCAATGGCAAGGAACTATATAAATGCAGCTATCTATAGGAAGGGATTCTAAAAAAAAAAAAATCACATGTAAACATATCCAAAAGATTAGGAGTAATACAGATAAAGTATTTGCTGTTCTATTGAAATGTTGCACCAGGTTGGTGAGCCTCCTCAGTTCATACTCATCAACTAGAGTGATAATTATTCCATTGAAGATGGGACAGTGGGTTATCTATCATCCAGAACAGCAAGCTAGATATAAAACAGGCCCAATAGTGTATAGAATTTTATTCACCAGCACTTCACCCTATTTGAAATGAATGCCCCACACTAATTCAGCTGTGTTTAGTGAAAAGGATTCATGTCAGTAGCATATGATAAATTGTATTATAGCAAGTCTTTCAAAGGGACATTCCCATAAGCATATCCCCAATTGCAACGCATTCATAAAATCCTTAGGATGTGCATTTATAAACATGGAGTTATAACCACAGACTTCTTGGTGATATCTATATAAGAAACCTATATAAGAGTGATTTGTATCCTCTTAATAGTCATCCTGGTTATTATGGGAATTTTTCTTTCCCAGATATCCCTCTTGCTTATGTATAAGGGATTTGAGGATTTTTCTTCAGAAAAGAAGTTACACAGAGAACCTCAAAGGGCTCTATTTTTAAAGTATAAGTATCAGTAATAGACTGGGCAAGTAACACTCTATAAAATGTTGCTAGTTTTACTGAACTTTGCTTCTGATTGGCTCCAGCCAGAGTCAAAAGATGTAAATATACTTCATGACAAGGATATTGTCTTCATAAATATTCCCAGTCATGGATTTAGTCCCATTTTGTCCCTAATATTAATGAGCTGGCAGCTTTAACTTCTAAATGCTAAATGTTTCCAATATAACTAGGCGTAATCTTACACTTGTCAGAACATAGGTCAGTGGGACTTATTTCTGAGTAGACTTGCATAGGATTGATTTTTACAATTTAGTTTGTCAGCCTGGTTACCAGTAAAAAAAATAGAATACATTTATCAATTGTAAATAACATCTTAAAACAAAACAAACCAGACAAGTATTATTTTCCCAACAAAAATATATACTTATTGCATAAATTTTCAGAGTATAATTCCATCCCACGTATAAAATTATCCCAAAATAAACCACAGTACAGTTTAGGAATAAGCACAAACTAAATGAAATTGAGAGATCTTTAGAAAAAAAGACAAACATTAGGAAAGGAAACCACAAAAATGGGGAAAATGGCAAAGATTTAATAATCTGCTGAGTAAGCATAGTAGGCTGCAAAGTACAAATAGATGAAAAGAAAGAATAAAAATACCACAAGTTAACTGTCCAATGTCATATGTAATAATCCCCCTTATATGAGTCATATTCTATTTTCTTACAAACTAAATCAGTCTTGGAATAATAAGAGTGATTCTGTGGTGGAATAAGACTATGATTCCGGGAAATTAATAGAGAAAAACTCCACAACTATTGCTGGGTATGTTGTGTTTATAGCATGTTTTTATCTATTTGGCCAGAGTCTTCAACAAGAAATCTTTTCAAAGAGTATGGCACACCTATATTAGATTTATATACATATTTCATTAATTTTGGAAATTAATTTTGGAAATAGTTACTTCTAAATAGAAAAGTATTAGTATAAAGAATCATTCAAATAAAGCAATGGCTATAATAATTCAACATTTGTACTTCAAATGTTATGTTTACTTTAAACACAAACACATATTATGTTGGGCAGTAATGATTCTGTATTGTTAATGTAGACATCTCCTTTATTCAATGTAGTAACTTTATTTTAGAGAAAGATAAAGAATGGGAATAAAACATTTTGCCAAAGTTGAATGTCAAGTAAAAATAGGACCCAAAGGCAAAGCTGATAAATTTAGCAAGAAAGAAAAAATAAATACGAGTAGATATGGTTCTGAGTGGACCATTGAGAATTATAAGAATAAACTTCAAGCATGTCCTCAGTTTTTGGATATAGATTTAAAGGAATCCAGTCATCTCAAATTTGTTTAGACCTAATCATTAATTTAGACTTTGTGGAGTAGACAAGGGCCAGAAAACAACAGTGGCTATAGATGTTGCGGTGCCAAGTGGCAGCAAAATCAGGAAGAAGGAGTATGAGAAGCTGAAGACATACCAGAACCTAAAGGAGGAACTAGAAAGAATGTGGAAAGGAAAGCCAGAGTGGTCCTGGTGGTGGTAGGGCTATAAATGGAAATCTATTTTTCCAGGCAAAAACTGGGATACTTTCACAGTAGCTTTTTCTTATCTTCCATTCATACCTCTTATATGGAGTTTGTTTCTCCTAGAGTTACCAGTTGAATA